TAGTTGCCGCTGGCACGACAAGCGGTAGATGTGAAATAGTCTAATATCAATAGCCTTTTTGTGTGTTATATGCAAATCAGTCTTAATGATTGCAGAGTTTTATAAAGTTTTGTTGACACTCTATCACATCAGCCACTTGTCGTGCAGGGACAACTAACGACCAAATGGAACCTAGGCTTAACGGAACACTGCATGGCACTGTACTGTTATAGTTCGATTTTGTACATGCAAATGCTGCAAAACCGTGGCTACAAGGTATGCTGAAATCAGGAGTACTTTACATCACAAATCGTGGCTATAACTGTTATGGTATCGCACATTGTGATAAACTTCCATCTCAACGCAAGACGATCTCACAAACTTTGATCTGCAAAACGCTTTTGTAATCAATAAGTCAATTATATGGCATTCCAGTGTACGAGATGGCAAACGTTTCCTGCATATTTTGTGAAAAAGTCAGAAATGCGCGAAACTCCTATTCCTATAAAAAGTGAGTGGTCTATGTTTTGCTATGATCTTACTTACGGACTTATCTATACTCATAGTACAGACCCTTACCATTCAGAAGCCGGTTGTTCAAAGCAGGATTAGCGCTAACCCTGGGTTAAAATGTAACCTGCTGTTTTAGTTTATGTATTTCTGTACGTCTGTATATTTCAAAACGTCGGAGAAGAAAATTATTACTGATCCAGACAAGATTTCTAAAGAAATATTTCCAAATTTATATACAAGCTGTTGGGAAGTTTGCTTTGAATTTTAGGTTAACCAAGCTAATCAGCTTTTGAACAACCGTCCCCAGGATAATCGTTTTACCCTCTGAGCTCGATACATATCTGGAGCGAGAACTCGAGTCCAAAATGTGAAGCCAAGATGGCGGAAATCGAAGAATTATTGAACGTCAATTCCAGTCCCTTTCTATTGTTTTTGTCTGCGCGGTTAACACGAAGCTGGCAAGGAGTGTGCCGAAATTTCGAATTTTGACATCGATTTAAAGAATAATACTATGGTTACAGAATAAGGTACACAGAAGGTCGACTCGAGTAACCGCTGCCACGCCATGATTCATCATCAAAATGCTGACGCCATGGTCCTAGCCAGTGCGCGTTTGAGAGGCATTCCCCCCTGGACATCCGCCATTTTGAATAATATCAGGGGGGTGAATGCCTCTCAAACGCGCACTGGCTAGGACCATCGCGTCAGCATTTGATGACGAATTACGGGTTACGCCAAAATCATAGCAAAATCATAGGAAAAACAAAGAAGTCGACCTTCTGTGTACGTTATTCTGTGCTATGGTTTTATGAACTCATACCTTGTTCAGCGATATGGTCCGTTAGAAAAAGCTGGAAGTAGCTCGGAAAAATTGAATTAAAACTGTTTACGAGGTTCATAGCTATTGGACGTCAATTTCCGCCATATTGGCTTCACACTTCTCATAGGCCGAATGATTGTAGTCCTTGCTCCAGATATATAGAGAGCTCTCTGGTTTTACCTTCAACTTAAACTCGATTTCAGTATGGTAACCAGTCTTCTCGCATTCTATTTTCACCGTTCCACCATATTCCATCGTGAGGGTACCGATAAGTAGACCTGGGAAAGTGAAGTAAACAATTACCTAATACAAAGCCTGAATCAAGCAAGGACGGGAGTGCATGTTTGAGGTAATTCCTTCTTTGCAATAGTTAATCTAGTATATCAACAGCCTGGTTTCCATATCGTCGTAACGGTCGTAAAGATTGAGTCACGATCTTTCTCATCAGCCGAAATACAACATTTTAGAACTGAAAATACATGTAGTGGTTATAACTAGAGAATACTTATGATTTATATGTGGTTTACAGGTATAAATTATTATAAACTGACCGCTGACTCTATTTTTACAACCATTACGATCATATGGAAACCAGGCTATACAGCAGTAACACATCAATATACCTAATTTCCTTAATCCGCAGAAGGATCGGTAACGTATTCACCAATATTGATCCAACAATCATCATATTAAAAACATACTGCCGAGGAACACGTCTGCCTTTGACTACCCCGCTGTGGAGCGGAACGTGTATGTTTGAAGCAGCACATTCCCTGCGATCGTAATTCCTAGTATTTCTACAACTTAAGCCCGGATCAAACGAGAATGAGAGTATTCCAAAGGTCGTAGGTTCGATTCCCACCGTGGCCAGGCATATTTTTCAAGCCTGCCTGGTGCGGATATACACTCAGAGTAACATCATACAAACATCTTAGTCACCTGAGTACATTACACCAGCACAGAAAATATCGAGAATGAGAGTTAAGAGGCGAGAGTTTTCTCAACACTCATGCCTCGGTCAAACGAGAACAAGAGTTGCATGACAGTTGATGAGAGTTGAGAAGCGAGAGTTTTCTCAACACTCATGCCTCGGTCAAACGAGAACAAGAGTTGCATGACAGTTGATGAGAGTTGACTGGATTTTAACGCGCGCGTAGCGAAAACACACAACTCTCATCAAAATTTGAACCGGTTCAAAGTTGATGAAAGTGCATGAAAGTCGATGACAGTTGGCGGTCAAAAGCGAGCGAGAGCTGCAACTCCTCATCAACTCTCAGCCTCGTTTGACCGAGACTTTAAGCCCTTGGTTAGCTGTTCTTAATACTTTCCCGACACTCTCATGTATTCTATTAAAGTGAAAATATAGTTGAAACACTCATCAATCCTTTATTTTGTTACAGCAGTTTTACGTGATACCCATTCACGCCACGCAAAAATATTGATAGCAACAGTTGGTTCTGACATTTAGGCGCGGTCGCTAATTCAATATCAGAAACTGAAGAAAGCCCGCCAAATTCGAGGATTAACAATACGAAGCGCTCGTTTTTGCAGCTTCTGGAGATCATCTGGTAAGTAGGTAGGCAGATGATTTTGGAAAACTGGGCAAGCGTATTCTGTCGGTGGTAAATAGAACTCCCGCAAATAAAACGCATGCTTTGCAGGCTAGATTGCTTGGGATGTTTTCCATTGCTTACGGGAAAAGTTGCGGCGCCACCACGGGGTCTTTAACTACAATGTGACTGCTATGTATTACGGCTTTAAGTACAGTATAATTATAATTTAAATTGTATCACAAGAGGTCAACATTGTGTGTTTTATTTACCAGACACTCACCTTTACAATGAGCATACGGCATGGAGATGACGTAATCTTCACCATGCGGTAATAATGTCAATGTGGCTAAACCATCCATTATGGCTGACGTTGAGTTTCCTTATGACAAATATAAAACAAATTACTAACAACATAAATAAGTCCGCATTCAATAAGCATTATTATTATATATCAATAGTCAAAGTCGCATTTTTCTGGTGTTTTATTGGTTGAGAGCATATCACGTGAGATTAAGCAATTATTGGATGAGGCTGAGCATGATATCAAGAATTATTCAGACCGAGGTCAATGTTATCTGCCGAAGCGAAGCTGAGGCGGATAACATAGACCGAGGTCTGAATAATTCTTGATATCATGCGAAAGCCGAATCCAATAATTGTTTTATTATACATTTAAAGACATGAGAAACGTATAAAACGATTCCTGTTCATGAGGTAGGAAAAGTACAATTTGAATATCAAACACATTGCACAAAGTCAAAGGTCAGCTAAATATTCTATTTTTACTTCTATTTACCCCTTTGTGGCTTTTTTCGTGCTTTCACTCTCCTTATCTGCCAATAATTTGGAGAGTTCACTTTCATTCAGCGAAGCAAATCTGCTGTAGGCAATTGTTTGTTTTTTGTTTTTTTCGCGCGCTTATAGGTTCAAGCTTTTGGCCGCGCAAGGGTTTGGGCACGAGAGAGTCCAATAATTTTTTTTTGGATGCAAGTTCGATCCAAAAAAACAATTATTGGACGCTGATGACGTCATCGGCGGAAAATACGTAATAAATGCCGAATACTGAAAATTAGCCGGTGCTTTCTGACCAATTAGAAACGAGAATACATATTAAATGTATAATAAAATACGTTATCGACCGGCGAATAACAACAAAAAGCACGTGCGCCATCACGTGAAGATGCGACCTTTGGACATGCCTAGTACGTAATTAAAACTTTCGCTTTAAGTAACTGCAGTGTAGCCAGTGTTTAATATAACGTTTTAACCATAAAATATTTCATGTATTTACGTTCGTTTGTTCTTTAATTTGTTGTTTCTTTGACTATTGATATATAATAAAACACTTATTTACTGAGACCTCGGGAAAGCAGTGTGTTTTGTGGACCCTCGACCGTCGATGTTTCCCTCGGCTTCGTCTCCGGAAATATCGACGGTCTCGGGTCCACAAAACACACTGTTTCCCTCGGTCTCAGTAAATAAGTGATAACTGTCTGAACACCATTTCTCAGGCAGTGGCGTAGCTAGCGAAACAGAAGTGAGGGGCGGGGAGGGGGGGGGGGAAGGATTTTGTAGATGGAAATTTTGAGTGTAAATTTTATACATTTAGTAGACCTAACGAGGAGCAGTTGCGAAAAATGCAACTATAGGTCCTCTGGTAGGAAACGAAGCTGCGATTCCGGTGCATACTTTCCTATTACAATATGGAGAAAAATAAATATCCTCACCACTTACCGTAAAATTTGGATTTGGCTAAAATACAACCATTGACGACAAAACCATCCTGTCTATTAGCGACATAAAACCCAGATATCGGAGGATGATGGGATAGCTGTTCCGCCACGAAGAATGTTCTAGTTCCAGTCTCCTGGTGTTTCCAGTAACATCGAAATCTCTCACCAATGATCGGGTTGTACGGCTTCTTCAAACCCTGCGTAGAAAAGTGTTTGTTGTTAGTTAGGATGCTTTCTACAGCACATAGATAAACGATATGCATGAATAGGGAGCTTAATTGTCGTATTCTTGATTTGTCGTATTCTGGCGTATGAAAATTACTGCTGACGCCACAATTCCTCCTCGTTTAGTTCCCAGCAAAATTTGAAATGCAACTATTTTACCCGTGCTTATTCAATTACATACGCCGGAATACGCATCCTACGCGACAACTCGCAGTGTGCAAACGTACCTTAAGCAACCGACGTTGCTGTAGAGGGGACTGTATTAAAAGCTGTGTTTGTGTCAGTTTGTAGTAATCCTCGACACATATGACAAAACATAAGATTCTTAAAGTTTTTTACTTCCTTACACGAGCGCTACGATGCAAAATGCCGCCAAAAATATTTTTTCGGGTGACGTCCGTGTTGAGGAAAACGTCGCTTGCTTAATACGCAATTCCAGCTTTTAGTTTATGCCTGCAGGGGATGATGGGAAGTAAGGTATCATATTGCTGATTATGCTGAAAAAATTCAACAAAAACTACCGAAGCGACCGAAATATTTCAATACAGTCGAACCCCTATTAAGCGGACACCTTTGGGACCTCGCCTAAGTGTCCGCTTAAAAGGGGTGTCCGCTTAAAAGGGGTATATAGAAAAACACAGCAGGAGGCAAAGGTGTGTAATTAGGTGTGTAATTTGAGTATCAAAACAGTAAGAAATATCTAGCAAATAATTAGCATGAAATGAAAAATTCTTTGTGCATAAAAGTTCATTAGAAAATGTATACGTCTCTCACAGTCATATAAAAAAGGAATCGATATAAATTTGCTTTCGAGGCTCACGCAGACGATAGCCCATTATAATGTCATTTACATAAAAATGATGTTGGAAAGTTCTTCCAAACCTCGAAATTGTGCGAATTCTGCCAGCCGCTCGACAACGTTAGGGGCTTCGGAGGAAGATTTAATGACTGGTTCGTTAAGAGACCAGTCAAATTCATCTTTTTTGTTCAGTTCGTTGTCATAATCAGTGATCCGACACATATCTTTCAGTTCCTTGGCAGGCGGCTCACAGTCCTCCGTCCTCGCTCGTCACTTCCTTAATAATCTTAGCTCTGATGTCTTCGCGCCAAGTTGGCGTGTCACTGTCAATGTGCCATGTCAATTGATCTCAATTGTTATTTACTGTCGAATATTGAATACATTTTATCAGACAATCTGTCATCTGTCCGCTTAAGACATGTTGGTTTGCCCATTGGGACCTCAAGTAAGGTGTCCGCGTCCGTTAAAGAGGGGTGCCCGCTTAATAGGGGTTATGATAGTGTTTTATTAAAGAAAACGAATGGGACCTGAGATATGTGTCCGCTTAAAAGAGGTGTCCGCTTAAGAGAGGTGTCCGCTTATAGGGGTTCGACTGTATTTACATGTATAAGCTATCACTCCGTGTTTACACACCATTTTTATTTTTTTCAGCATAATCAGCAATGTGATACCGTACTTCCCCTCGTCCCCTGCACGCATAAACTAAAAGCTGGAATTGCCTATTAAGCTCATTAATAGACATAAAATAACGCGAGTTTCGTGCAGAAAAGTATTCTAGGTCCTATAGTTAGATCCTGGTTAGATCTAATAAATGTACAAAAACTGCACTCAAAATTTTCATCTACCATCTCTTCAACTAATAATCTTCATCTACCATCTCTTCAACTAATAATCTTCATCTACCATCTCTTCAACTAATAATCTGGGTTAAATACGTGCATGATCCTGCTTGTGACGTAACATGCATATTCACAATAATCCAAGATAGCAGGCAGATCACTGATTTATGATCATCATTTTGGTCAAAATACTAAACAACATTTGAAGAAGCTGTAAAACGTTTCCCCCATAATTTTAAAAGTTCTTTCAAATTAGACAAATTTTCATTGCCATATCCCATGAATACAGAAATAATTTATCCCGGCCAACAGGGCTCATATAAACACACAGGCCATTAAAATGTGGATGTACCTTTGGTTTCTTGTAAAATCCAGAAAGATACCATTTCACAACTTGCTTCATTCTGTCATAAGGACTTTCCTGTTTCACTGCGCTGCAAGAAAAATGGTGATCAACGATTATTAAGGGACCGGTCATTATTTATGGCAGGGGGTGGCACCGAAGAGAAAAGGGTTGGGTAAACAAAATTCTGAGTGAGTAAAAGGTTGGGTAAATGAAAAACAAAACAACTCAAGGGTTGGGTAATAATCATTTCCAAAGCATGACTCACTGAAATATTGGAGACTAAAAAGCAATGTCAACAGTCATATGTCAATACAATATGTGAATCAATCAGAGTCACTATCTTGATCACTGTTTTTCAATTTGTTGGGAGACAAATAGTGCATGTCTCCAAAGAAAGTACATGTGCAGACAACATGAAACTTTAGTCTGCAAAAAAATTCACAATCCGTTATCAAACTCATGTCACAGAAGTGGCAAGGGACATGTGTGACAACTGAATGGTATCTTTTTGTAAAATTTTTGGCCAGGGGTGGGTATTTATTTTTTAATTGATACTTGAGGTGGGGTAATCAAATTTTTTACTTTTTAATGGTTGGGTCAACAAAAATTTTGCCACGAAAAACATTTCTCTTCGGTGCCACCCCCCCACCATAAATAATGACCGGTCCCTAAATACGAAAGAAAATTAGAAAAACATTTGGATAAACCTGAAAGGGGCTTCGATGGCAGAGCAAGCGTCTTACACCTCTGAGATCGTGCATGGTTTGATTCTCTCGTTGCCTTCTCACGTGAAAAGAGTCGGTCAACTCTCTGCCCAAAGTCGTGGGTTTTCTCCGGGTGCTCCGGTTTCCTCCCACACAGAACGTTGACAGGATGGGTTAGGATAAGCACAGTTACAAAAGTAGTATCACAATAGACAATTCCCATTGTAGACTAATTTAAAACTAGGCAAGAAGATGCAAATAAATCACCACAGCTAGAAAGAGAATACTAAAATGAGTAAAATTGCAAAGTTTGCTTGCGAGATGTTGTAAAATGCGGAAAATATAGCCTTGCAAAGTTTGCAAATTTTGTATACAAAAGTATTGCGTGCGGAAATTGCTACCATTTTCGGCCCAAATGTGGTAGCAATTTCCGCACGCAATACAAAAGTATACAAAATTTGCGAACTTTGCAATGCTATATTTTCCGCATTTTACAACATTTCGCAACCGAACTTTGCAATTTTACTAATTTTAGTATGCTCTTTCCGGGAATATACTTTTTTTGACAAGATAAAAAATAGTCTATAATGGGAATTGTCTATTGTTGTAAAAGATAAAATAGTCTAGGCTAAATATGTAATCAGGTAAGTCTAATACTAGATGGAAGCGCATTTGATCATAAAAAAGATGGCCTAAAGAACACCATGACCTAAGTGGCGGACATTTCGCAAAATATTGGTGCAAGATAATTATTCTGTGCCTCCTCAGTTCTTTATAGTAAACATTTTTGGCTTAAATTTCGTGCAGTTTTGCTTCAATAATAGCCCATCAAGGATTTAATGATGTAAATCATTGTTACAGCTTTGTTGCATAGTTCATCAGTATTCAGTCAAAAAATATCAGAATTATGCGTGATCTTCTCCAGAGGCCTCAAAATACCGCTCATCATCACTGGTGAGTTATGAAATTTATCGGTCACAGCAGCTTTCGCCTGTCAGCTTTCGCCGCATTTGATAATTATTCTGAAGTAACTTTCTTGGCGAGAATAACGAGAAAAAATTACAAATGTTGAAGAGAAAAATTCGTGTATTACGAAGTTTTGTACATTCACAAGAATATTTCGTATTTGAATGGTAACAAACAAAACAGTTGTTTCCCATAACATATCTGAGCCACACAGTTTCAGTGAAACTCCATTGGACATGCTTGTCCGGTAAGCGATAATATATTTGCTGGTCAAACTGAAATATTTACCTATCAATGACCGGCAGTTATTTCGAGGCCTGGGGCCGGTTGTACGAGGATCTATCCACCGGATAGAGATTTTTTCAGCCTTTGTAAAATGCTTGAAAAACTGTGAAACGACGAATATAGACGACACAAGCAGAAGTATAACTTATAAATTCCACATACATATAACTTTATTTCATAATGCAGGTTAAATACTTATGTCACCTAAAAGCTGATGTGAACCTGCGAAACTAAAGTAATATAAAATTTACAAAATCATACCTATTTAAAAATATTTGAAGTCTTTAGTATTCTTGTTGTTATTTACAGCTGCTTCTTTAAGAAAATTTATACTATCTAAGTTTGGACTATTCCTAATTTTAGTTTTAAATGTGATTTTATTAACTATCGCCTTAGTGTCATTATCAAGTTGGTTCCATATAGGACCTCTGTACCGTAAAGATGTCCTTCCTTTTTCGGTTTTACACCTAACCACATTAAACTTCTGTTTTCGTCTTCCTACTCTCGCAGTCCGTGTGAATAGGTTTTGCAAATCCTGTGGAACATTCATATAATATACATCATGCATTAAAGTCAAGATACGCTTTTTATATATATATATATATATATATATATATATATATATATATATATATATATATATATATATATATATATATATATATATATATATATATATATCACCTATAGGTTTCCAATCTACTTGTTCTACTATTTGTTCTAGTATTTATTACTAAACTTTAATACGAGTTTTACCATTCAACGACTGATTTAACAAAGCTTGAAAAAATCACTATCCGGTGGATAGCGCTATCCGGCCTTCGTACAACCAACCCCTGTTTAAAATGCTCGAAAGAATGACACTGCTGCTTGTAACGTCAAAGTGCATACAGTAGAAACATTATCAGACTTACTTGGAAAGGATATCAGCATGATAATAAAAATCTGATAATTTATCAAGAAATGATCTCGGTTCAAGGATAAATGTTGGCAGCACAACTTTGGACAAGTCCATACCAGGTTTAACCTAAAAAGCCAAATACATAAAAAAAACATGAAGCAGTCGAATAACATATACGCTGTTCGGGTGTGGTATGTCAAGTTACGAATCAGGATTAGGCGTGTTTCCACTTAGCCGGGTTAAACTTACCCTAAACGCCCATTTCCACTCATGAAAATTTTCCGCAGAAAGAAAATTGTGTAAAAGTTGATTGGCTGACACAAACTTTCCGAGGGAAAAAATTTTGAAGTTGAAAATTTTCAACTTTTAACAATGACAATTTGGGAAAAATTTCTGTCCGTGGAAATTTTTCTTGAGCGGAAATGGGCCTTTACTCTTCATAGTGTAAATCGGGCAATAGATTATCGCTGGGTGCCAGTGGAGGTAACGAAGAATACCAACCACGAACTTATGAACAACAGCGATCGAACGTAAAACAGAAATGACGAGTAAAATGTCTGCCAAAATAATAGGAATAAATGTATGGGAAAGGAAACGGAATTTCACTGCTTTTTTCTTGTGGCAAGAAGAAGTTATACTGAGTTTACACTCTCGTCCTTTTCTTTAAACTTTTTGCTAGAGCTTTGCGAAGGCAATACTATTTCCAGTCTTTTGAATACAAGCATGCAGTAAATACATGCGGACGTTTGATCCAGGTTTTAAACTTGTGTAGGTGCATCCTCGTAACCCAGAGCATGAGAGAAAATAGCCTGGGTACAAGGTTGTGTAGGTGATGCAACTATACATAAAAATATAAACAGAAAAATTTTATAGTTTCAGTTGCTTGTACAGTATCATCTACACAAGTTGCCAGTCTATAGAGTATGGACATGTCCCAGAAATACACCATTCTGCTGAATGCAAATTTTTGCAGTCCTCGCTGCCGCTGGGGGCATTAATCGGCCTCATTCCTTATTCCGGCCTTCTTAGGTTAAAATGTGGCCGAGTATATGATGTTTTGCTCCAGAGAGGACTGAAAGTAGAAACTATTTGCACTGGCAAAATGGTGTATTAGCAAAAATTGTTTTTCATACATGCTGCACAAAAAAGATGAAATGACTATACCTGTTTCATCAGACTCCATAAAATACTCTTCCCCTCATCTTCCATATCCTCGGTCGCCTCCCCTGACTTAATACGGATGAGAAAAATATTAATAGTTGGGAAAATTTAATGGTTAATGCCACATCAGGGATCCAATTCATGCTAGCGGCCATTTTATGGGCTTAGTTTACTCTAGATCCAGAATAGGAGGGCCTGTTCGTAACCTCATTTGAGCCCAACCGGGAAACGTTTCAAATAAAAGAATGGATTTGAGGGGGGAGGAACCTCCCCCCCCCACCCACCATTCTTCTTTTCTTACCTCCCCAAGATATTCAGGTTCATTTTCTTCCATGTATGTTGATTCAATAAGCGGTCCATCATCACCTTCATCTAGGGAAAAACCAGTACCTAACTTACAAAACTTTGGTTCCTTTTTACAGTCCGAATATATCAGTACTCTGTCACATCATTGCAGAATTACTGACTATACATAGTCGATTCTTATCTTGCCAGAGTGTAAAAAACCCCTATAATTCAAAGTATAAATATCGGAATTCGTTACCTAATCTACAACGGTCAGTGCTAGTGTAGGTAGTGCGAATAATAAGAAAAGTTCGGATTGAATAAGGATTCAACCACCTGAAAAATACAAGGAGAACTTCGATGTTTCGAAGTCAGTTGCCTTCGTCGGAAAGATACGGCCTTCGCTCGAAACGTCGAAGTTCTCCTTGTTATTTTTCAGCAGGGTTCGTACATGTCAGGAAGAGTCAAATTCAAGGACTTTTCAAGGACATTCAAGGCCATATATCAGCAAATTCAAGGACTAAATATATACTGAAGAGAAGGCGTTAGAAATCAGCAAAATCAGACGTTGAATTGTTCAAAACGTAACTTTATAATGAGGTCAGATATGAACATGCAAAATCAGTTCAACAAAATGTCTATCTTGAATGTCAAACAATTTCAAAAAATATCCAAAAACTAAAGCAAGAAGAATTCAAGGACATTCAAGGCCTTGCATTTTTGTTTTCAAATTCAAGGACATTCAAGGACTTTCAAGTTTTGTACGAACCCTGTTTCAGGTAGTTGCATTCCTATCAATCCCAAGCTCTTTTATCTAATCTATCCCTATACTTACTGGCGAATCAGTTATTGTGGCTACATACATATCACTGTACCTTTAATTTCTTGATCCTCAACAATTTCGTCTTCAGAATCGGATTTGTCCTGTCAGAAAGTCATATGATAAAACAATATGCAGGCAATGATCGATGTACTATAGCGTTATTGGGTTACATACATGTAAGTCTTATAATATAATTTAGCGGTTGGTTATATAATGATAAGCGTTATAAGGGTTTACAGTCAAAAATATTTATTTGCTCGACCCTGGTACTTCAGAATAACCTACCATAGCGTCATTACTCATTTCATCAATATCTCGTTCACCATTGCCAAGATGACCAATGGCTGGAATAAAAGGAAAATAATATACTTACAAAATTATAACTACAGCATATCATTTATAAAATATCAACTAATATGTAACACAAGAACGTCTAGAACTAAGTTGTGTTCCAAAAATTATAGGACTAATTATATAGGTGTTGCTATATCACTGACTGAACTAGCCTGCGAACAGGCTCTCAAGCTGAATTGAGAGCCTGCATCGATGACTAATGAATTTGAATATCTGCCCCGTAACGTTCGTTTTTCCAAATATGGAATGTCTATCCTTATATGGTGCTGTTTACAACTTTCGTGCAAACTAAATTTAGACCATGCAAACTAAATTTAGACCGTACAGTTTATACTGTTTTTCGAAATATAAGATATTGAAGCATTAAGTTTAAATTTTTTAAATACTGTTTTCTCAAAACAGAACATTTCGTGCTTTGAGATAAGATGGCCAAGACCAATTTAATCAGTTAATGTGTTTTTTGTGCATAGTGCTTCAGCAGTTGACATATTTAGAGCTCAGCGGAATAATATAAATTATAGCATCTGACCAATGAGAATTTCGCGTCACGATTTGAGACGCAGATATTCAAATTCATTAGTCATCGATGCAGGCTCTCAATTCAGCTTGAGAGCCTGTTCGCAGGCTATGACTGACCAGGAAACCAGCTATGGCTCCTTAACGAGCTACACAGAAAATTTCATATTTGGATTTCATAAATTGCCACTTAATATTCCTTCAGTGTGGATATAATGATATAAATGAGCCCTTATGGCATCATTTTAGACTAAAATTTCATTTAATGCATACAAAAGGACAATAATATTGCCGTGATTTATAGACAATGTTATATAATAGTTGAATTGCATGCTAAACAATCCAGTCATGTACAGGACTTTCATAATATTTTAAGTGGCCACGGTGAAAAAGGTTGTCCAGAATGAAGAAATCATTCTACAAATCAAATAATATTTGATGGAATTACACGCTGCATGCTCATTATTTTTGTCCACGTTCTTTTGCTTAATGGAACACTGGCCATAGCTGAACTTATTTAACAATGATTAAGGTTCTTCTTCAAAAAAGTGGACGATAAATGCGGTTCAGAAAATTAAAACAGCAAAAATTTTGAAGCAAAAGATTGCATTGCTGTTTTATTTCAACTTGTTCCTTAGTTAGTAGTTACAAATCCCCTAGTTCTCACTATTTTCTTGTCATTGTTTTAAGATGTGAAAAGATTTATAGTGTACGTCTTGTTATATATGTCAAAGACCAGCGATAAATCTCGTGGCCCTGCGTGTATACGGAGAGTGATGTTTCATAAGATGCATATATACATGAAACAATGACTGGAGTGTCTCAGAAGAGTGCCGTTACGAAACAAGCAGCAGTATGCTTTACTGTACCTTGCGCTGTTTCCTCTTCTCGGTCTTCAGATGAAGTCAATTTACCATAAAGGTCACTCACCCTACAATTTACAATGCACAGAATGTTTCAGTTATATTACTAAAGGCAAACAATTTTATGGTTCAAGATGGCTCATATAGCCCATGTACAACTTGAGTTTCTATAGTAATACTGTAAATAGAGAAGCATCTTTCCGTGTTGATATCTGCATTGGGCCATTCCATTTAATATAGGCACCCCTCCTATTGAGGGGTCCCTTCATAATCCCCTTAGGATATAAACAATTTAGAACCCCCTTGGATGCGATTTTTGGAAGTTACCTCATGGATATCTTTATACCCCCTTTAGGATATCGTTTTCACTAAAACACCCAATTTTGGCTATTTTTTGGAAAATCTCTTAAGCTACCCTCTAGGAAAATTTAAGGTAAAAAACCCCTCCCCTCATAGGATATCCAGACCCCCCAATAAAGGGGGCTGCCTATATTAAATTGGAATGGCCCATTATATCAACACCAGTGGAAATTGGGAAAACGAAAACAGAAACACACAATTTCGAGTTTTCTCAATTTCCACGAGTCGGTGATATAACTCTATATCAATACGGAAAATGTTTTATATTGTTTTTATAATAGAGCACAAAGAAATATAAAGAAAGAAATTTTCTGTGTTGACATTGAATTATGTCAACACGGCTCTTAGCCAATCAGCGTTCAGAATTTACAAATGCTATAATTATAAAATATGTCGTATTGGAAGGATATAAGAACGGATTGCGTACGAGTCAAGACTATTATTGGGGAATCAAAAGTGAAAATAAAAGACGTTTAGGTCGGAAAATCGAAGGTGCCCAAACTGAGTTTTCATTGTATTCATTCTGAGCGGTAGTGTACTAGAAATCAGCCTACTCACATTCCTTTATTGTCTCTATGCATATTGTACGCCTGCTTATGTGAAACTTCCAAAGCATCCAACCAACATTTGCCTAGAATGATCAAAAAGAAGATTTAAATAAGAAGATTTCAATATCTTTATTCAAAACATTGCAGAATTACTGAACTGAAGTCTTCTCGTGATGTCGAAAAAACGTTGCTTGCTTAAGTTCTCTATTATGTTTATAGAGAATGTTTTAGTTTTAATAAGCTTTCGTACATCATTATACAAGGAGTTAAACAACAGAGCAAGCTGCAATCAAGGTTTAACTCCATAATTACAAATTAATCAGTTAGAAATACAAACTTAGATAATAAATAACCTTAACATATTGACAAACTAGACGTATTAGACATACTGCAACATTTAAAGCACTGACTAGTCCATGTTCTGAATGCATCCACATCAAATATATTTGACAATGGCCAAAAAAAATTTCTTTTAATGGGAATCGCAAGGATGGAGCGCACGTTTCATACTCACAAATGACTGAGGCGAGAACGGACAGAACAACGTAAGTTGACTGAGAAGCTAAGAAAAAGGAGTCTGACATGGTTCGAACATGTACTGTAGTAAGAATGAACAATTAACATCTGCCGAAGATTACAAAGTGGAGAGCAAGGTGCACAGAACCAACACGCAATTCCAGCTTTTAATTTATGCGCGCAGGGGGTGACGGGAGTCATATTGCTGATTATGCTGAAAAATTTCAATAAAAACTGCCGAAACAACCGAACCTTTCAAGTATAACAGGGTGTTAGCTACAGTAAAAAATTCCGCGTTAAACTCGGTTTTCCCAATTGCCTTGAGGTCGCAATTTCCCAATTTGGGTCAGCCAAAAAATAGTTATAGAAATTCAATGTTGTTAACACGCCATTAAAAACATGTTTACAATTACATTTCCTCGAAATTACTCCCAAAATGCGGGAAATGCCATTTCAAAGACACAGAAATTTTAAAAATCGAGAGGGGGCAACCGCATGCCCCCAGACCCACAAGGAAATGCCCGGCTTTAGGCTAAAATAAATTTCTCAATTTCAGGTAAACGCGGATTTTTTTTACTTCTGGCTAACACCCTGTATAAGCTATCACTCCGTGTTTACACGACCACCATTTCTATTTCTTTCAGCATAATCAGCAATATGATACCTTACTTCCCATCGTCCCCTGCACGCATAAACTAAAAGCTGGAATTGCGTATTGTGAAACTTCGTGTCTCCATTCCTGGAGAATGTACTTTGTGGAGATGGTCAATGATCGAATGGAGCTTAAGTCTGCATTCCAGCAAGGCGTTTTTCATACGTTTGTACATAGGCACGGAAAACTTTCTTTCTAAAGTTTATATAAGTGCTAATACGGATTTCACCGAACTGTGGCACTGTAGCAAAAATTCATATCGCTGTCACTCCCACATACATCTTGGCCACACCTACATATTTTTGAAAGTTTGAAATTCTAATTTTAAACAGCCAATCCCGTTCCTGGTAAAAATTTCTATAAAATGTTGATTGGCGGTTAAAAATCGGAATTGTAAACATGCAAAAATATGTGGGTGTGGTTATAGACAATTGTGGGAGTGAGAGCGATATGTATTTTTGCTACAATGCCACAGTTCGGTGAGATCCGTAATAATCACCCCAGAAAATAACATAAAATCGAACAGAAAATTAAAAGCACAAGTCCTTAAATCACAAGTAACATTTATTACCATTAATAATTTGAACTTTTCCGTAAGTATATGTACGAAAGAAAACGCAACTGAAATGCAGCCTTTAGCAACAATTCAAAAAACTGTTATCTTACACCTGGAATTAATGGCTAGATCCCCATAATTTTTGGAGTTGTTATAGCCGATAACTCCAGGTTTAGATAGCTAGCTGCACACGATTTTTTACATTGTTAGCCAGTAACTCCAGGTTTAGATGCCTACAGTAACTCCATGGTTTAGATACCTTAGATTTTGAATTGGTTAGCTACTGTACAGCAGTAACTCTACATGGGTAGGTTTGGAAAGGCAGCTTTACTGCCTTCATGTGACTTTACAGTTGGCTGTAACTCTTTATATAGTTTTGAAGTTCTCAATTTGGAGTTATTGCGAAATTCACGGAACTGTGGAATCGCATCAAAAATTCGTATCGCCGTCACTCCCAAAAACGTCTACAACCACGCCTACATATTTTTGCATGTTTACAATTCTAATTTTAAACAGCCAATCGACGTTTAATTGTAATTTCCGTCGGAAAAAAATTTTGAAGTTGAAAATTTTCACCTTTTAACAATGACATTTTCGGAAAATTTTTTGTCCGTGGAAAATTTTCTTGAGTGGAAATGAACCTTTACAGGTCTTTACACTATGGTGGTAGCGTCTTTCCATGCCTCCCTAACTTCTACAGCCATGCATGTACAGTATGTTTCTACATTGCTGCAGTTCAGACGAAAGCATCGCAAGTTCTCTCATATGAGGTAATCACTATACGGTATATAGATGGCTAAGAGAAATTACTCACCATCAGATTCTGAAGCAGCTCTCAGAATTAAGTGATCTTTTGGTAAAGGAATACCAACCAAAGCCCCTGCAATTTCACCTCGCGGACCCTGCAAGGATTAAAACGCAAGGAGTTATAAAAATTATACTTGCACTTGTACTTACGTTTCTCATTTTATTCAGTTAAAATATTATGGTTGATTAGTGGAAATAATTACTGTGTTAAAAGATTTTTATAAATAAATAAATGGGTCGGTTGTACGAAGGTTGGATAGCGCAATCCAGTGGATAGTGATATTTTCAGCCGTTGTAAAAATACTTGAAAAACTTTAAAACTACAAAATATGGACCCGAAAAATAAACAAAAAATGCCTCAACTTATAAATACTAATGTATAATCTGGGTTATACCATCAACGGTCGTGGATATCCACGTGGTATCAAAAGAAGATCGTGGTATCCTGCCGTCGTGCAGCCGACTCCATGCAGACACACTATAGCGGCTCATGTTTTTTCCTGGGTCTCACCTTTGTAGCCCAAATGTAATTTTGTAAAGGATGGTAAATTTTAAAACAGAATCCTTCCTTCTTTGATGGCCGTTCAATGACTTCGCAACCATTCAAAATGACGGTACCAACCCACTGCTCCTCCTGACAAACATATTAAAATGTAAGGAATTAATTTCAAACAATTTCGCGGTCAAAGCAACCTGTCCGGCTGTCCTCGTTGCCTCAACACAGTAAATCAGCTAATACGCATTAGCGCGTATACTCAGGAGGTGGATAGTGCTTTTCGCGAAATTTGATTGGTTGCTCAACTCGGGATATTCAATAGACCTTATGCATAATGACATCACAAGGCTTAATCACGCGAGGAATGCTGGTGTTAGTAGTCATCGCGCGGGAAAATTAAACAATTCAAAATGTATCGACATGAATTTTCCAGTATCGAATTTTCCAGAATCCAGTATCGACATGCATTTTCCCGGGCGATGACTACCAAGACCAGCATTCCTGGCGGGCATCAAGCCTTGTGATGTCATTATGCATAAGGTCTATTCACGTACGGAACAAACCAAAATGTCTCCGGGTGGCGCAAAAAAATCCACCCCCCCTCCCCCCCCCTCTTTGACTCATTGTAATTAAGAAACTGAAAAATCTATCTTATACAAATAAAATGTATTGAACGTAGTTATGTCTAACTTAAATTTTGATGTATATGCCTTGCATATTTCTATAAAATATTAGCCGAGATATAGGTGTTTACACTCAAGGTAGCGTTTTTGGAAGAAGCGAAAAATGGTCTATTAATTTGCATTATGGTTCTACCATTTTTCGCTTCTTCCGTTTAAACGGCTATATCTCGGCTAATATTCTATGGAAATGTTCAAGGCATACATCAAAATTTAATTAAAAGATTAAACGTTCTCTGACTAATATTATTTATTAATACGAGCTTTCGGCTACCAGTCTGTAGCCTTCGACGGGTGATAGATTAATGACAAAAGGACGCTATAACTATATTAAGAAATGTAAAATGATACTTGTGATGTTACTCTGAGTGATCCACACCGGGCAAGCTTGAAAAATATGCCTGGCCACGGTGGGAATCGAACCTACGACCTTTGGAATACTAGCCCAATGCTCTGCCAACTGAGCTACGCGGTCTGGTCGGTTCGAGTATGTGATATTTCGGAACTGAGTCTAGTTCCTTCGATATCGATATACACTCAGAGTAACATCACAAGCATCATATTCACCTGAGTACACCAACACAGAAAACATTTCAAATGTAAAATGATATACCTAAAATACTATTATTAACTATGCTACAAATATATATGAAATATAATATGTAGTGGAGATATTATGTTCATATATAGCATAGTTAATAACAGTATTTTAGGTATATTATTTGTTAATATAGTTATAGCGTCCTTTTGTCATTAATCTATCACCCGTCGAAGGCTACAAACTGGTAGCCGAAAGCTCGTATTAATAAATAATATTTAGTCAGAGAACGTCTAATCTTTTAATATGTTTAATCCTGGCTAAACATCTTCTATATTTTCTACCGAAATTTAAGTTAGACATTACTGCGTTCAATATACTTTATTTGAATAAAATGGCTTCTTTAGTTTTTTTAATTAAAATAAGTCAAAGAGGCGGAACATTTTTTTTGCACCACCCAGTCTTATTCTGTGACTCAGAATAAACTGGTAAAGAGTAACAACTAGTGGAAAATGAAAGTGGACATTGGATGTTATACTTTTGGCAATCTGGTCGCTGAACATCATTAACCCCTTGACACTAGGCGTTTCCATAAATGCTAATAGAGGGACTGGATGGCATGGAGAACAAAGGGTGTTTCAAAACAATGAAAACCAATGGAACGTTCCAACCACTGTATTATAACTGGATGGCGAATTTTCCATGACAGCCCGAGCGATTCAATATTCAGGCCTACCTTATCATTTCTGTAAATGATGAGGGCACCAGGTTTCACTAAACACCAAAATCTTGCCCAGTTCTTTAAAGTTCCTCTGATCTATATACAAACACAAGTAGACAATTTGAAGAGTTACAGTTGTGTTTCAAGTTATTCTCTAAGGAACACTTTGAGGAAGCTTGCAGTTCCTTTTCCACGCACTATACTGTAACTACTTTGAAAGAATTCCTTCAGTTATAGTGGTGCGGTGGCATAGAACAGCCCCCCCCCCCTGCAGAATTAAGGCTGAATATAAATCTGAATATTTCCCACTCAGCATGCAGCAGATTTATTCTCTATTATAACAATTTTTAATCTTTAGCACGCCACTCATATCATGTAAAGCAGATTTATTTTCTTGTTATCTATTTTATATTATGTAAATAATTGCAATATAGTTTAGTTTAAAATAATTAAGTACTTTTTGTTAATAGTTATTCTGACGAGCTTATACCGTAGGTACATAAATTATACCAATACTGTACTCGCCAGGGAGAATAATACAACACAAATTCTAATCTGGACTATATTCATGGTGCATAATACAGGTGTACTAATAGGTACTATACTGTATTTACAACATGAGCGGCCGTGTTGTATTGGATATTGTACATGGCTTGTGAAACTTACGCCTTGATGAATGATACTTGGTGTTAAAATTGAACTTAGGGGCCGATTACATGGAGCATTTTCAACCCCGGGGTTGAACTCAGCCCTGTTGACCGGGTTGAAATTTCAGCCCTGTCTGTAATACAAAACTCTATCAAAATCACACGCGCTATTACATGACAAAATTTTCAACCCAGGGCTGAGTTCAACCCCGGGGTAGAAATTTCAACCCTGCTTCAGCTAGTAGGGTTGAAATTTCAACACTGGGTTGAACATTTTCTCATGTAATCGTTTCAACCCAGGGCTGAAATTATTCGAGCATGCGTGGTAGTGACTATTTATTACAAGAAAACAAAATGGAGACTATGGAGCCACTTTTTTACTTCCGGGAATCAATGTCGGGAACGTATAGCATTTCAACCCCGGGGTTGAAAACGTCCATGTCATCACAAAAAATTTCAACCCAGTTAGCAGGGCTGAGTTCAACCCCGGTGACCGGTGATTGAAAGTGCTCCCTGTAATCGGCCCCTTGAAGATTTTGTAAACGGACATATCTGTGGAAGGAGAGTGCGTGCAACTATTAAGGGAATACCAAACGGTTTTCCGTTCAGGATATATAGCGTCATCCATGCACGCGGGATATTGCGAGGCTTTTGGAAAGCGTAAAAATACACCAGCCGCAGGCGAACAGCACAACAAAAAAATATTGAGACTGACCTTTAACCAGGATGACAATATTATAACAGCAGGATCAAGCAAAGCGCTGGTTACTTTCTTTGCCATACGTCTTTTTTCATGTTTGTAACTCTTCTTCATTTCCTACATCAGTACAAATACTCAATCAATATTAACTGAGTGGGAAAATAGGTTTAAAAGTTAAAACACGTGGCTGAATGAGCATGATTAACTATCTAAATAAGTAAAATGCTATTCGAAGATCAGTCGGTCCTAAGCGGCTGTTTACAACATCACGTTTTGCTGGAAAGGGATTGAAGGCGGGATGATGTTAATGTATTGACATACAGTATGTCTCTGGATCTAAACGTACGGTCTAACAGCGAAAAATCAAACACAGAAACGTTTTTGATCAGGTCCAATAGCATTACGTTTTCGACTATTCTGAAATCTATCACTCCGAAAAGTATGCAGTTTTGCAGAATTTTGAACCGTGACTTATCTTGATACATATCAAAGCTGAAAATAAAGCATACTGCATGAACAGGCCTGAAAAAAGTGACTTCTGACCACTGGGACAGAACAAAATATTCCTTCCAATATTCAGGCATGTGGCTAACTGGGCAAGAACAGAAAACGAAGCAAACAGTTGCTTGATCGAGTCAACCTAAATGAACTTATTTATTTACATTGTTTAAAGTTGTGTAATCAAACTTGTGCATCCTTGCTCTCAAGCCTTTGTTGATCTCACATTTGCACTGCAATTTAGTTCATCCTTTTCTTACTCCATTTACTTAATATTTGTTTGTGTGTTCGTTTGTTTCTTTTTCATTCATTTTTTCTTTCCTTCTTTCATTCTTTCTCTCTCCATCCAAAATTTTTCTGGCAACTTAAAAATTTTCTGGGACAAAATGGCTCAGTGGTCGGATACTTTTTCCACCCCTGATATCGAGGGTAAAGCCCTTTTCCATGGCATACGTTATTAGTGCATCTACTGCAAGTACTGCGTAGCGTTTCCTAGCTACAGACCACTTCTAGCGAGTCTTAGGATGAGCTCATACATGGCATTTGGAAAACAACGCGGAACGCGGTGAGTGTAAAAGGAGGAATATTCGTGCGCACAAGGAACGAGTGCGGAATAAATTTTGAGACGTTTTTGAAACTGTAACAGTAATAATCTTGAACCCTAACCTTTAACCCGATCCTAACCATGACCGCAGTCATTCCGGACGATCAGCCCGCCCAGCTCAGTAATGAACTCCAGTGGTTTTCAATGCATATAAATTTTGCTACGGGCCAATATAAGTGCAATGGGTCTACCGAGCTTGCCGTGTACTACAAATTAAGACAAAACATACCTTTAGGGAAACCTTACGATCAAATTTTGGCGATCTATCGGGCTAAAAATAAAAAAAGATGAAACACATACAAATTAGTCATTCTTCAACACACTCGATGATAACATTCTCTAAGTATTATGACAATGCTAGCCTGCGACTATAGTATAGGCTTTCTGTGCTGAGTGCTGTGATAATCAGCACACCGCAGAACATACCATATATGTACCAATGATGACCTGCGTCTCACAAAATGTTTGCACGTAATGTAAACTTTCGATGCAGTGAATGTAAAGCTTCAACTTTATACAGAGTACTGTATTAACATCATTTTAGACAATTTACTCGATTCTGATTGGTTAAATAAACGAATAAACACTAATCGCACAGGTGTGCCGATTGAAGATTAATCGGCACGAACACGAGCCCGCGTGCACTCCGCGCTCACGCGAGTGCAGAGATTTAAACAAAAAATCTAAACAAACAACGTGAAAATTGATATTTTCTGAGCTCTTATTTTGCAATAAGTTCTTATTTATGTTATAAGAATTATTATTAGCATGACAAAATTACTGGATGCTGATTGGTTGAGAGGAGTACAGTGATTTTCCCAAAACTAATAAAATGGCGGAAAGGTATTTTAAACACATGCGTGAAATGAAATTGCCCTAGAGGAACTATTGATGAAAATACGAACAAAAGCACCAAATGTTGCTTTAACAAAAGAACTAAATGAAAATACGGACAAAAGCACCAAATTTTGGTTGAAAGTCTGGCAGGACTGGGCTTTGGCGAGAGAATATATATGGTGTTAACATTGAGAAGTATCCAATTTTTCATGCTAATAATAAACAAGTAATGGGGGCGAGCGAGTCCAATTTGGCAAATTTCCAAACATCACGAGTACTATTAATCCATAATTGTACGAGCAACAACGCATGATTACCTATACTAATAAATATTTCGCCAAACACGCGTGCGATTTTTCATTAATACTTCTCGCACCATGTAATTTCCTATACTAATGTCACCTGACGTCAGCCTAAGACCTAGGCCTTCTATTTTTATTATTTTTTAATATTCAGCGCTTTTTCACATGAGAAGACTGGGACCTAGGCGATACCATGGCGATACTTACCAAATGCTAGCCCGAAATTGACCAAACCTGCCAAAGCCAGCCGAGTAAAGGCCTGGGTCTAGGCTGACATGACGGCTCTTATCGACATCGATCAATTATGAACGATTGTTAAAAACAAGTCAAATAACGTCATCAGTTTGCACGTAAATTGGCATGAACACCCTCAAATGGCTTTCATGCTCAAAAAGCCAGTAAAAAATCCTAATTTAACGCATCACTTAAATCATTTTATCACAAAAGAGGATACATTTCAACTTACTAAGCTGTTCATGGCAATCACTACAACGTAGAACGGCAAAAATGTCACCGTAAAGGTCGGAGTGACACCGTCTTTCGTGAACATTCGACAATGATTCGGGAGAGAACATTTACGGGTTTTAGGGTTTTAATATATTCTGTAATGTGATCTACATTTTTTGTTTACACTTTGTTTCGACTAAATCCATTCGATTGGCTTATTTTCTGTCACGTGATCGCTTTTGCATTCACTAGTATAAAAGATCATGCAATTTTCTGGACCATCGCTACTAACTTCCCGACGAAGGGCTTTCGCTAAAAACGTCGAAGTTCTCCTTGTACTTTTCAGGTAGTTGTGTCCCTACCTATCTGAAGTTTTCTTCTAAATGATAAGTCTATGTGGTCTACACGGTCTAAAATGACCCACTGATGTAAATGTTTTTTCCCCAAACGTTAATATACAGCACTTGAGGCAAAGCAACTTACTGGTTGTAGGGATCTCCTTCCTGCTCCTCGTGTTGGCGACGACTTTGAATCATTTCTGACAAAATTTTTCTCTCCATTTTCCTCTCCTGAAATATTTGTATATAGAAAAAAATAATTAAAAATACTGTGAAGTACTCGTAAATGCTGTCATCAGTTATGGCTGGACTATC